TTAAATTGGACCACATGAGCAGATGTTGAGTCTTCTTTTGTGCACCTGTAATGACTTACTGCTGTCTCAATATTCATCACATTGGATTATTGTACAAAGACCATCAGTCACTTCATAGCAGGTAGCCATCAGTCACTTCATAGCAGGTAGTGTCATCCAGTCCCCCACTAACAGAGCTTGGGCTATCAGTGCTCAGAAATAATTTTCTAGAAGATGAATGTATAGTACTATCAGTCCCTGCCCCGCTCCCCTGTACTGGTTGGTGATTGAATGCATGACCCTGGCAATGAGCTAGCTACATGCCCAGCCCTTTATTATTTTTTTATTTTGAAGCAGGGACTCATCAAGTCTCTAAATCACCCAGCATAGGCTTAAACTTACTACCTTCTTGCCTCAGCCTTCCAGAGTTCTGGGATTACAGGTCCCACACCCAGTTTATCACCAGTTTTTACCTTCTAAAAGAGTAAAATCCAAAAATACTTAATAGATTGTACCAAGACCTCCTTGTTCTATATTTAATAGATCCTTTTCAACCTTTGAGTAACTTGACCCCTCTGTCTCATTTCACACCCTTCACCTGAAATTCCATGATTTGCACTATATTCTATATGCACAACTCTTCACCCACTCTGCAAAATTTCTGCCTCACCTTTTCTATAGTCTTATTCTTGGTCTTTCTTTCCATCTTTATGGTAAAGTGTAATGCTTTGGATACAGCCAAATAACAGGGAAACTCAAGGAGCCACTCCTTTCAGCAGGGCATGGCATGACTGTGGTGATCATGTATGTTTAAGCTTAGGAGGTCTAGAAATCAGAGAAGGCAGACCATTAATTCAGACATCAGTGAGAGGCTAAGTGGGAGGCTCCTGGAATAGGGGGTGTGTGACTGTTTAGATACTGGTGGCACTAAAGCTCATCAAGGACTCCTCTTCCTTTTCCCCTTCTGTCTATTCCTTACTGTCCCATGATCTGTAACAAACATACTTACTAGATGTATGCATGGCAGTTCTTTCCTTGCCCTACACAAGAACCTGGCCTATTTTGGTTCACTTAACTGTAACACTTACACTATTTCATCTTTGATTGCCCTTTTTCTTACTTCACATCCTTTCCTGAGCTGTCTTAATAGCTCACTACTTTTATTATCCTCACATGTCACTTTCCTCATGTAGACAGCAGACAGGAATGTAGGTAAAAGGAATTTTTCTGAGACAATGGTCCCAGATATAAAAGTAATGTTAAAGAAAAGATTTTTCAATGCCTTTTGCTAAAGCACAGTAACATTGACTATTCAGGGCTGTCCCAATGGTACAGTGATGATTCCCAATGGTGTACAATGGAGTTTTGCAGTAGGGGACAGAGAGCAGACACAACTTTCAATACAAGAGAAAAGGATAAGGAAAATGTATAGCTGAGGAAGGGAGGATATCAGGTGGGAGGGGTAGTTGTGGATGAAAATTACTAGGAAGAAACATCAATGCTGAGTGAGGAGACGTTCAAAGTAAAATGACCCAGTAGCATTCTTGCTGAAAACAGGCTCGGGAATTCTGGATAAACCAACATAGCAAGTGTTTTGCTAAAATTGAGCAATGTAAAGAGGGTTATGGAAGTGTAAGGGGGAGGGTGGGGCAGAAGATTCAGAGGAACCTTACCAAATTTGATCAACTAGAGAGAATTAACAAAGAAGCAGGGGAGACAGGAGAAAAACAAAACCACCACGGAGCATGTGCCTACAAACAACACCCAGCCTCAGCCAACTCCAGGGAGCTCAGGACCATATAGGTATCATACCAGTCTCATTCCATAAAAGCCAAGGGCCTACTCTTCCTTGGTTAGTTAGTCACTCATTTCTCTCTTACTTTCCTGTCACTGAAACAAAACCATAAACAACCACAAGATAAAAAAGAATAGGTTTATTTTGACTCACAGTTTGCAAATGTTTCAGTCCATGGTATGCTGACTCCAAGTCAGGGTCACATGCAGGAGGGGCTGGCAGAGGAGCAGGTGTCCATGGCAGGGCAGAGAGGAAGTGGTGAGTTATGAAGGGAAAAGGAGGGATACAAGCACACAACTTTCCAGGCCATGCCCACAGTAACCCACTCTTCCAACTATGCCTCATCTCCCAACATGG